GACAGAAAAATCAAATGTATTGGAGAATAAAGAAAAATCACCAACCTTGTGTGAATTTTACAGAAAATCCACCTCTCCCTACAACACACAGCTTTGACATCTATCAACCAAATATAGACCTTGTTCCAATACCAGCTGCACATTGCTCCATATTAAGCACAAATTACAAATACAAAAAGGATTTATTAAACATACCACACATTTTTTCGACAAACAGAAAAGAAGAAATAAGCATAGAAGAATGCAACAGAATATGGAAAAAATCAAAATGTAGATTAGGGGAATTAACTGGAAACAGAAATACAAGTCATACAAATAATAAAGCGAAAATAGAATACTCTTATTGGTCAATCGGATATCAAGAAACAAGCGAATCAAATTGTTTCCTAAGTAAAATAAGCATTTACGCTAAACCAGATTCATCTTCAATATTTTCCCCAGGAGTTGATATTTCACATTGCCGATATGAAAACGCAGCTTGTCTTTTAGAAGATGATTCACTGATTATTTGGGAAGCAGAAAATAAAGAAAAAAACGAAAAAATGTGTAAATTTTCAAGAGTTAGGAAATGGAAAGGCACTTGGATGGGTAGAATTTGGTTAGCTGATAATAAAGAGATAGGAATTTCATTTACAAATAACCCCACAAAAATAATAGATTGTAATAAAGAATTAATCATAAGCGAGCAAGGCTATGCAGTACCAGCGCAGCAATACCAAATATTGAGCTTAAAAGAAAAAATAAGAAGAAAGCGAGAAAATAAAAACACAAGAAGCGGTTTAATTTTGAGTAACCAATTAGCCGCAGAACTAACAGCCACTGAAATACTCTCTACAGAGAAAGTTAAAAAAGTATTTAACCATTTGACTAGTATCCTTTGTGCCAAAGATATTAACGGAGAACACCAAAACAAATTAATAAGTGGAACCGACAGCAACATTGTAGCTAAGTTAATCATGAATACACCATATGTCTTAGGTAAATGGATATCCAATGAAATATTAGAAACAAGAACATGCTTTCCAATACCTTATGAGAACATCACATTTCTACCGAATGAAAAATGCTACAAAGAGATTCCAGTAAATGTCACGTTAAAGGAAAAAATAATAAAAGCATTTCTTGAACCAAAAACATTAACTATAGTAGAGAAAGCAAGCGAAACACCTTGCTCATATGAGAGATTTATAACTATATTTATTGGGAAAAAATTATTGAGGATTGATCAAAAGACAGGAAAAAGTAAAGAAATAAATGAAAAACAAATACATGAATTAACACTCGACCTACAAAAGCCAATACACCTCCCTCAAATTGAAACACATGCATTCCACAATTTAATTATAAAGAACTATAGTGACCCTAGAATTGAAATTCTCCAAATGTTCCAAACATATGGAATAGACAAAAAATTTGAACAGGAAAAAATAGAAAATGCAATAAAAAATGGAGAATACGTACACACCGAAGAAACAGTTAAAAATCCGCTAACAAGCATTCTTGAAAAAATTTGGGAAATTAATCTTGAAAAAATGTGGATTAGAATGGTAGCTCTGTATATAACTTACATTTGGCTATTCGATAATATTCTCCCTTTTCTACTTAAATATATAAAAAATACTAGAATTGGAAGATTCTTGGCACAGGTATTAATAATGATAGGAAAAACACCCGAATCAGAAAAAACAGAAGAAATAATCATGAACACAATAATGAGGAAAATTAAAGATGAGAAGAAAGACGAAGAAGAAAGAAGCGAGGAAATACGTCTTCGCGCGGCCGCCAGTGTCGTGTAAGGAACACGAAATTATAATTATTAATAAATTTAAATATTTCTTTCTAATTTTCCCTTTATTCCACCTGTCCACGACAGACAATGTCATAAATTATTTTCCCATAAGCTGCCACTTTGACCCTTTATTCTCTCTTCTTTTTTCCGGAAACTATTGTCTTTTCACCCCTCGTTAATACTATTTTTCATATCACTTCTCTATTCATTATTGTGTAAATCTCTGCCTATTGTCCATTAAATCCCCTATATAAACAATAGGCAGATCTTCCCTATCATCTTCAGTTTTCAATTTTCCATTAATTCTTTACAAAAATATTTAATTGTATTTTTAATTTTAAAGATAAATATTTTATTTAAATTCACTTTATTCAATAACTCTTGGGACCTAGCTTCCCTAAAAATTTATTTGTCAAAGTAAGCCTTTAGTTGACAACTTTAGCAGCTTCTAATCGGCGAGCTCGACATACTTTTGTTTACACTACTACTTTACAAATAAATCATCATTTAAATTTGCTTACATTTTATTTATGTGATTATAAAGAAAATTGTTTTATCAAAGAAATAATTAGTTTTGGGCTAGAATTTCCAGGCCACAAAAATTTGTAAAATAATAAACGTTCAGTTCTTAATTATTAAAATAAATTGTGAAATTCCCAATTCTTTTCGTTAAAATATTTTCCCAATTATTTAGACATTTTCACATCTCTTTAGACAAGGTTAGGTGCATTTCACTTTAATAATAGTTTTTCCTTTGCAACATTTTTGTCCTTGTTTTGGTGTTTCTGAAATAAAAAACATTTAAATTTATTCACAAAGCTTCATTTATTCCTAGTTAAAAGAAATTACTTTGTTAATTTTTTAATTTTGAAAATTAAAATAATATTTAAAATATACAGTGTGTCAATAGACTTTAAATATAGGCCACCATTAATTTTCAAGTTTTTTCAACTTCCACTTAATTCTCGATAATGAAATTTTACACAACTGTTTCTTACCGTAAATAAAAAATTTTTTGTAGATCTTTTGAACATAACCCAATGTCAAAACTAGGTGTGGTCTTAAGGTTTATTGACACATGCTTTTGGTGAATTTAGACAAAATTTAGCATTCCATTTCGAATTTTTTTAAATTTATTTGTTAAATAATTTTTATTTACGGTAAGAAACAGTTGAATAAAATTTCATTATCGAGACTTACGAGTAACTTGGAATAACTTTAAAATTACATTTGGTCTTAAAGTTTATTGACACACTGTATTATTATAATTTGTTAAATTTTACTTACCCCCTTTATGCAAACAGCTAGGTTTTGGAACAGTTATAATACTACTACAACATTGTGTATGACCTAACTTACAGCAGTTTTTTCCACTCTTTGACATACATGCTAACAAAAATAAATTTTATAAATTTCACAGCTTTAGAATTTTTAGAAACGTAAATTTTGATTGTTTTTATTTAAACATTAATAAAATACAAAAATTCAAAAAGTATATTTTTATTATCAGTAAAACTACCTCCAGTTTGTCCAATCACACAATCGTCCTTACAATTAAACTCAGCAACAAGAAATGAAGAAATAATAAATAAAATTATAATCGCCATTTTTAAATAATTTTGAATTTTAAACTATTTTTAATGTTTTTCTTAAAAATTAAGATAATTTAAAAAAACAATTAAATAGAGACTGTGGTTCAATACTTTTCAATCAAGTTTTTTAAAAAATTGGAGAATTTTGTGAATTTTTTCTGTTATACATCTCCAAAAATTTGTAATTTTCAATGAGTTGGTTGTTCTCCAAATTCCTAAATTTTCGCCTCCGGCACTAAATGACCGTTCGCTAACCGGAAATTTCGGTTTGGTAGTAGGATCTTGGCGGGTAGAACAGATCTCCTTTAATTGGGTTTTACAAGTCTAAAGATAATTTTCCACTAATTCTATTAAACAACGAAAAAAGCTTATTTTTTATTCAATAATTTAGAGTTTTAAAATGTTTGCTTAACAAAAAAATTTTTTTGATTATACAATGTTTAATGACAAAATAATATTTTTAGGTAATTTAAAATAATTTCTGAGATTAATATATCAGGTTAGGTAATCCAGGGATCAGACCGAATAAAATATAAATCCCGATTTTGGTAAACGGGTATGTGCCACCACTTGTATCTTACAAATATATTATACCTTCACAATACGCAGAAATAAACAGGGGTAATAAAAAATTTAAATTAAAAAATATAAAATAAATTTTTAAGATAATTTGATAAAAAAGATGCCTAAAAACGCAGTGAAAAAATTTATTTTTATATAAAAAATTTCTATCTGCAAACTTTTTATTTATCAATAAATTCACGTGAATATCCAAAACACATCAACTTAGTATGTTTTGGATTGATTTTGCATTTTTGCCCATTTAAATTTTCTATCCAAGCAGAAAAGCTTTTCCAAAATATTACCAAACTAGAAGATTTAATTGCGTAATTTTTACTCAATTATTTTTAAATAAACAAATTGTTGAGAAATTTGCAAAAAAAGTATTTTTTATGAAAAAAATCATTTTTAGATTATTTTTAAAATTTTGTTTTTGCATTTAATGTTTGATGCTTTACTCTGGCTAAAAATAAAAATTAATAAAACTTTATTAATTTAAAAATATTTTTGCAAAAAAAATTAATTATTCCAATTTTATAAATTAATTTAAATTGTTAATTGTAATTTAAAAAACAAATTAAGCTACTAGATAATTGTTTAATTAATTTAAATTGTTAACTCGAGAATATAATATAAAAATTTACTACCTTATTTATACATTTGGGGAGGAGGCCAGTGTACGCCAGCTGGCCAGTGTACGCCAGCTCAATATATCAATATAGAGCTATAACATTGTTCAAAATTGTCGAATCCGTGGCGCCCTAGTATGTCTCGATGCGGCTCGATCAGATGAATCGAACCATACTAGGGCGCCATGGATTCGACAATATTGAACAAAGTTATAGCTCGGCGGTACATTGGTTTCGCGGTACAACGGGGTGCGCCCATATATTTGATATCAATAAATACATATATTATGAAATTACTTAACATTTAATTATGAAAATTAAAAATTTGTTTAAAATATTAACTAATACATTATCACTTTAACTTTCAAAATAAAATTTTTAATAATAAGCATTAAAATAATTTCGCAACAAAAATTAAATAATTGTTTAAAGTAGGGTTGTTACGACGTAGAGAAAGTTTGAAAGCTTTTTTTGCCATTTTTTTTCCATTTTTTGCCCTATAATACTCGGCAAACTTACAAAATTTTAAATCATGGTATTTTAGTAATTTTTTCCTAGTTTTTGCTTGATTCACGTTTTTGCCTAAAATCCATGAGTGTAACAACCCCGATTTTAAATTACTAAAAATTTTTCATGTAAATATTTTCTCAATTTATGTATTTAATTTTATAACTCATTGCTTTGCCAACAAGGATTCCACCTGCCAAAGCTCCAAGTACAGCCATAGCTGGAACTGACGTGGCATTAAGATACATAACACCAACAGCAGCGGCAACACCAGCACAGACTGCTGCACCAAGAGCAGTAGACATGACAATAAGAGATTTGCTTTTATCTGTAATGAAATATTTGTGAATAATAAAAATATAATTTGACTCTAAACATAAATCGTGCCGGTATCATATTTTTTTCACTTCCTTGTCTGGTAGCGAATAGTCAATTTTACTATAATATTAATTACCGCTCATACCTATTCTAGAAACTATTGTCCGTTAACTCTGGGTAGTACAGTAACTCTTTATGGGAATAGATCTCTCTATTAACATAAAATTTTGTAGGGATACAATAAGTCTATTTCAGGTATAAATACTGATTCAAACTACTAGTGCTATACCCGCACACCCACTCCTTAACGTTAGGGACCTAATATTCAATGTTTTCAATGTCTTTTTTCTCTAAAACTTACTCAATAATGTATTAAATTGTTCTCTTTGATTTTCTACTTTCAAAGTTAAGCCTGCTACTTTTTGACGTATCTCTAATACATCGTTGTTAGGAATATTAGCCATAATTCTTTAATTAATTATTCAAACAATTAATTAATTTATCAATAGGAACACAAAAAATTAATTTATAATTATTCTCTGAATAATTTTAAATATATAAAATAAAGTTAATTATTATTTTAAGAAAATTTTAAAAGAATATTTTATATAAAGAAAATGTTTAGGATTCTTTACTCAAAATTAAAAATAAATCAAATGATACATATAGTCAAAAACCAGACCGAAAAAGATTTCACTCAAAATCTCGATTATCGAGAATCGTAATTTTTCGAGATTCTTCGATCGCGACTTTCCGCGTCACTGCTAATAGCGATCCAAGAAAAATTTTTTTTTAATTGAATAGATGATGCCAGAAATTAGGGCTCTGGAAAAGTGGATTTAAAGAGTTTTCGGAAAACCGGGCTCTGTACTACTCTCCTAGCTAGATGTGAAAATACTACAAATAGGTATTGCAATGATATTTTTAAAAAACAAAAATAAAATAAACTACTAAAATAAATCTTAAATAAATATGTAATTTACTTTAAGAAAAATGGGGAAAATGAATTTATTTAATACAATAGCTAACAATTTTTACATTAAAACTTTTCTTCATATCATTTACCATCTATTTATTTTTATAGTGATTGAATCTGTGAAAAGTCATACATATTTTTTAAACTTCAGTAATATTCTGTTTATTTTCAAAGCAAAACAATAATGTGAAAAATTAAATAGAATATAAATAATGTTCTCTCTAAAAAGATGGGTAGATCTAATCGAATGTTTGGAATGAATAATTAGTTAGAAAGTTTTAAACATTTGTACGACTGAAAATATGTTAATGCTGATTAGAAATACTTTTAAAAAATAAAGAAAGGTAAGTAAATTAGCTACAGCAAAGAAGAAATTTTTTGTGTCGAAATATGAAACCGGTAATTTTTTACAAGAAAATAAATATAAGTGGTCATGTCAACCCCAAAAGTCAACCCCGACTCCGAACCCCAACATGCCTTCCCCGGCAAACCCCGATCCCTCACACACCCGCTCTCGAAAGGTAGGGTGGTAAATGTCCAGTTGGCGGTCTACATGTCCGCAAAGAGAATCTGCTCTTTTCTTTCCTTTTCTTGCATTTTTTGCGTTGGGAGAAATGCTCCGCTCATTTTTCCTTTTCTTCCATTTTTCCTTCTCAATACAATATGTTTTCCTGTTCATACTTGAAAAATAAAAATACTTCTAATTAAAAAAATTTTTTACAAATGATAGATTTAGATTTACAAATAATAGATCTATGGCTTTCTAATAAGCCCAAAATAATGATCTAAAAAATTTCAAAATAATATTTAAGGAGATATAACCTGTTCTACGTTGATTTTCTTGTTTCAGAATATCGATAATGAGTAAATAAAGACATGGGCCCAGTTTTTACATCCATCCTCCCCCTCATAGTTTTTATTAGAGCTTTAACCCGGGCCGGACCCGGGACCAAGTTTTCCGGGCACGATAGCCCGGAAACCGGGTATTTTGTAAAATAAATAATTTTTTTCTAATTAGAGGTATTTTTATTTTTCAAGTATGAACAAGTATGAACAGGTTATTTTTCAAGTATGAACTTTCGATAAGGAAAAGTAAGACATACTGTATTGGGAAGGAAAAATGGCAGAAAAGGAAAAATGAGCGGAGCACTTCTCCCAACGCAAAAAATGCAAGAAAAGGAAAGAAAAGAGCAGATTCTCTTTGCGGACATGTAGACCGCCAACTGGACATTTACCAGGTAGGGTTGCTACCCTAGTTTATAGGCCGCTAAGGACTAATAAATTAAAAGACACCCCACCCCCCTCCGCGCGAGTCGTATCTTAGCTCAAAAAGTTCCATTAGACTAAATCTATTATAACCTAAAATAATTCATCGGTAAGAGGAGATTTTTACCTTTATCTTTGAATACAATTTAAAAAATCACAAAAATTTTCTTGGATATTTCTGATCAGAACTATGTAAATAGCCATAATTCTCTAATTAATTATTCAAATGCTTAACTAATTTTTGTCTAGATAAGGAATTAATTCTTAATTATTTTCTGAATAATTTTAATAAGATTTATTATTATTTTAATAAAATTTTATTAATAAGAAATTTTTTCTGTTCAATCTGAAAAAAGTTTAGGATCTTTTAACAACCGAAATTAAAAATCGAATTTTAGTACGAAAATAAATATTAATTTGTAAATGCAAATTAATTTTTAGAAAAAGGGAAAATAAACAATTTTTTAATACAATAGCTAACAATTTTTACATTGAAACCTTTTTTCACCCTTTTCTCTCTGTATTTATTTTTATAGCGATTAAATCAGTAAAAGTCATATTTTTTAAACTTTAGTAATTTTATGTTTATTTTCAAAGAAAAACTATTTTGTGAAAAATAAAATAAAAATAAAATTTTTTCTTAATAAAAAGTTGGGTGTATCTAAATGGATTGAATAAATTAGTTAAGAATGTTTTGAACAAACGAATGAAATATAGATAAAAATAAATTTGTACAAAATACTAATTATGATTAGAAAATACTTTAAAAAAGTAAAGGAAGGCAAAATGTATGTCTAAAGGACAGATTTTTTATTTTACTTTGAAAATAAAAAATTTAGAGAGATTACTTCATTAAAGAATACTCTCTCTGGTAGAGCCCGGATCAAGACTGAATCTTGAACAAAAATCCACGTACTTCCATTCTACATTATGTAAAAATAAAAACATTTCTTGGATATTTCTAGCAAAAATCGAAATATTTCAGCCAGTCTGTTTCTTCATCCTCATCCATTTTTAAATTTTCATTGTTTATTTGTTCATTATTTATTCCATTGTTTTCATTAAATTTGTGTTCATTTATTTCTAACAGTCTATTAGTTTTTTGCTCATTTTTTGATGAACTTTCACAATGGTTGTTTTCATATTGTTTCTCTAAAAATTTTCGATTTATATTTTAAATAGTTAATTAAATTCAGATTTTAGTAGTCAACGTTCGTATAACTTAATCCTCTAATGGGACCAGATGTGCTACTATTTTTAAACCTCTCGTAAGTTGAGATTATATTTCTGTTAAATTACCGATTTCAAAGTAAGTTCGTTCCGATGCAGGAATCAATCGGAAATGACAAAGGTATCGGAAATCACAAATCGGAATTCTGATCGCCCCTGCCTCGAAGTGAGGCTAGCGCTTCAGGGAAAAAAGTGATTCTTGTAGGTTGTGCTTATATAATAAATGTTGTATTCCTTAATTAGATCATGTATCTATTCAAAGTTGTTTAAAACTTCTGAAGTACTCTTAATCATAATTTTCATTTACTCAATGATTTTTATATTTTGAGTCCAATTCCTTATTTTAGCGAAACTTTTCTTTCCTATTTTTGTATGGTCCAAAAATTATGGTCCAGAAATCCAGAATTTAATAACTACGAACAGCGTTTATGAATTTAATGTTACTCAAATAAAAACAAAAAGCTGTTATAAATTTCCCCAATAATTTTTAATCACACTATGATCTCATTATACCTTTATCATGTTGAATTGCCATAATATTTTTTTCTGGTAAATTTAAATTCGTTTCTTTTATATGTTCAGCATCATACCATTTATCAAAATCCTCTACAATATTTCTAAAAAAGATTAAATTTCTTAAATTATGTTAGAGTTAAACAATAATTGGTACTTTTCGGTTTTGCTACACCCCTCTCATATATTTGTAGTATATATTTTCTATTTATTCTTAATTCGTACAGAAAGGTCAGTTTTATTCTTCCTCAATTTCACTGAATATTGTGGATTGTGGATTCAATATTTCGTGTTTAATCCTTTTTCCCAAATATTAATTTCAATTTTGATGATATTGGACAGAAAACTGAATCCTTAATTTGTTGGTGTCCTCATTGAACATCCACAGGAAGAAGAGTGAAATTGAGAAAGAAAGAGATTGACCTTTCTGTACAAATCAAGTAAAACTGAAAAATATATTCTGCAAACACCCGCCCCTATTTAAAGTTAAGGGTGTAAAAATTCCCTATGATAATCTAAGGTTTTCACAATTATTTTAATATTCTATTTACTGACCCTGATAAATTCAAATTCTTGTCTTCACCGTGATACATCAATTTATCAAACTCTTCCATCGCATAGCTAAATAAGTTGTATAAATTTCTGTCTTTTAATTTTTTAAACTCCAATCCTCCCACCAAGCAATAATATACAAAGGGATGCATAATTGATTTTATATTTATAATTTTTTAAATTTATTTAAAAAATTAAAACTGTATAATTTTGAATTTTAAAATTTAAAATTTAAAAATTTTAATTATAAACAATAATTACACAGGGTAATTATTTAAGCATATAAGTATTTAGATATTTAGAAATTTTAAAATTTTACTTATATTCGGCATTATCCGGTTTTAATTTTGATAATTCTTTAACAATATTATCTTCAGAATAATCCATACTAACTGATTTAACAAAAATTTTGGCTAAATCTTTATAGCCAGATTCAATTTTGTCTGTGCATACTTTCTTATTTGTTTCAACTTTTAAATAATCAAGCATTTTACTCCCTGCATCACACATCCATTCAGTATAAAATTGTTGCCGAATTGCAGATAGATATGAATTATGTGACATTGGGCCAGCTAAAAATATTAAAAAATAGGTAATTGTATTCTAATTACCGTATTTTTTGTATTAGAGCCCCACGTTGAATTAGAGCCCCACGCTGTAATAAAGCCCCACTTTCAAGGATAGTTGAAAAATAGAGCCCCACGCTGTATTAGAGCCCCACGCTGAAATAGAGCCCTATTTTCTAAAATTTACCTATTGTATAATAAATTACCGTATTTTTTGTATTAGAGCCCCACGTTGAATTAGAGCCCCACGCTGTAATAAAGCCCCACTTTCAAGGATAGTTGAAAAATAGAGCCCCACGCTGTATTAGAGCCCCACGCTGAAATAGAGCCCTATTTTCTAAAATTTACCTATTGTATAATA